TCGTTGCACTTGCATCTTGATGCTTGTCTCTTCATCCATCCCTCTTGTCTCAGACAGTGCACTCATCGTGGTTCAGGTCAACTCATTGCTATAACCTAGACCCTACACAATTCCTAAACATAGAGCTGTTGCTTGAAACGCATTTATGACCAGGGAACTGCAAGGAAATCAGTGTATTCACCTTTCTGAAGACAAAATGGTAAGAGAATCTGGAGGGGAGCTGGGGAGCCAGGGCTTTGTTTTATAATTTTAGATTTTTGTGAGGTTTTATGTGTGGTTTTGGTTTTTGGTTTTTTGTTTGTTGTTGTTGTTGTTGTTGTGTGTGTGTGTGTGTGTGTGTGTGTGTGTGTGTGTTTGCTTTTGGGGTTTTTAAAAATTTTTATTTTTATTTTGTACAATGAATTAAACCCAGGGGCGCTTAATCACCGAGCCATATCCCCAGCCCTTTGAGATAGGGTCTTGCTGAGTTGCTTAGGGCCTCGCTAAATTGCCAAGGCTGGCTTTGAACTCATATCCTCCCTCAGCCTCCCAAGCCACTGGGATTACAGGCATGCACCACTGAGCCCTGCCCCAGGGTTTTGTTTCCATCATTTTCATGCAGGACAAAGCATTTCCTTCCTGCCTGACTCATTCCACTCAGCAGGTGGCACCTGAGGATGAGAGGGGCCACATGTGGACAATAACAGCCCAGAAGCATCTACCACTCTTCTTGATCAGAATCCAAGCTACTGAGAACTTTCTAAGTATACTTGAGTCTTGCTCTCTGCCCCACCCATCTTCCCCATCCCAGTAAATGGCAGCTCTCCATTCTTCTGGTTGCACTAGCCACAGATCTTGCAGTCTTCCTGGACTTCCTTTCTCTCCCCTTCTCCCACCCAATCTATCAGCCCAGCCTTTCCAAGTGACTTACAAGACAGCTCCAGAGTCCAGCCACTTCTTACCTCAAACATGGCCACCCACCTCCTTAAAACCTCTGCTGTCGTCTCTGACTGAGAGAGACGATGACGAGAGAGCCCCAGCTGCCTCTACCCAGACCTCCAGATAGTCCCTTCTCAAAGCAAGCCAGAGATTGCCTTGAAAACCCTGCTTGAAATATTCCTTGCAAGGTATAAGAATCAGTCTTCAAATTGGCTTTCAAGGCCCAGCCTCAACTCTATCTCCCCTGACTACTTCCTCCCTCCCTCCTGTCACTCAGTCACATGGACCCTTAGCAGCTCCTTGGACACCCTAATTCAGATCCTACCTCAGGGCCTTTGCATATCTCAACATGGCTTTTTCCCTCACTTTCTTTCTGCTGAAATGTTCTCTTCTCATCAAGCATTCGATAATTACTTCTTTCAAATTGTGCACACGCACATACATACACAAACACATATCACCTGTACTCCCTATCACTCTGCCCTGCTTTACTTTTTTCTACATAACTACTTACCTTCTGATATAGCCTATACTTTGCCAATTGATTTATGTTTTCTTTTCCCCCCTGGAGCTAAAGATAAGGTCCAAGAGCACAGGCTTTTTTTTTTTTTTTGGCTTGTTTTGTTTATTTCTCTGTCCTTAAGACTTGCAGCAGTGCCTGGCCCATGATTATATTAATCCATTTAAAATTAGTAAAACTGCCATTATGGTTCTGATATCAATATTTCAAGTTTTATCATCATGAGAAAATCCCCCAGTCATTCATCAACTGCACATGTACAAACTTTCCCTGGATGACCTAGCTACCTGATGAGCCATTTGGAAGAAAACCACAGACTACAGACAACACTCTGTGGGGCCAGGAACTGTGGAAACAAATCATGACTATTAATGTGACAATGTGGTTCCTGATTAGGGCCTATTCTCTGATAGAACTAAATAGAACCAAGCCCATGCCACCAAATGGACATCACTGCCACCTGGAACCGTCATAGCATATGATGTGACAGTACCTCCAACATTATAAGCTGGGAGTCAAGCCAAGTTTCTGATATGAAAGCCATCACTGCCAACCAGGCTTGTGGCGTGCCAAAGACTAGCCCACTTGTTTTGTGGTGAGGGAGGTTACAACATAGGAGGTGATGCTCTCATTTACTCCTGGCAAATTGATATCAGACTTTTGAGACCTTCTTAAGCCACTGGTTAGAGTCTCAAGGTTGTTGTCACTTATTCAGGGTACAGGGTCATTGTCTTTGTTCAATAAGCTAAACCTAGCCACACAGTGCAGTCTTCATTTAAAAAGGTCTCTGGACCTTTTAAACTAGACTCCACTGCTCATCTCTAAGCTAAGCATTCAGAATGAAACAACAGATCCTGGTGCACATGGATCACTGTGGGTACTTTGGAAAGACAACTGGACTCAGAGACCAACACGAGAAGAAGAACTGAGTGTGCATTACACTGTGCGGATGGACACTTATAGCTTTGCTATGCCGAGAAAATAATTCAGAAAGTCATCAGGACGATGTCGGAGTAGGCTATTTTTTTCTAATTAACGTTCAGTTTTCTAAATAGTCACTCCCAGGGGAGGAACCCGGCAAACGAATGCACTGAAGATCAATATTCCCAGTAACGTCTCCTGGGGATGGCTTGCCCCAGATGGGATGTGATGAGAAGGGCACTTGACCTACTCACAAACCTGATCCCAGTCTCCCCATGGGAAAAACATCAGACTGGTGACAGGGTCCTCAGGGAGCTGGGACTCATCAAAACTCTCACAGTCATGAAAAGCAAGATAGACTAAGAAACCAGCACAGACCAGAGGGGTGGGCAGACATGACCATCATGTGCACAGTGGTGTCCTGGACAAAACTCTGGACAGAAAGAGGATATGAATGAGGAAACAAGAACATGGACTTACACAGTTGCTGAACTCATCAGAGTCACCAAGCCCATCAGTAGCAGCCCTAGCAGTAAGAAGCTGAAAAGCAGAAAGGCCTCCTCACAAGCAGATTTGCTCATTTTTCTGACTGATGATCTTTCTGTAAAAGTCAAGATGGCTTGGGTTTTTGTTACATCCCTGGCTTTCCTTACAGCTCCGTGTCAGAGCAATTTCTGACTACCCAGTTGTTTCCAGAATCATCTTTCTGAAAATGAGTCCTAAACCACAAATGTGTTCTCAAGTTTGAAAAGTCTCATTTTGTTTTTCAACTTTTAGATGAGAATCTCTCAGCATTTTCATATCACATCTCTTCTTTGACGACTCCTCATCATATATTGCTAAAAGCAAGACCAAGAGGCATTTCCACAGCTGTATACAATCATCCCTTTGTATCTTTGGGGGATTGGTTCCAGGATCCCTGTGGACATCAAAATCTAAGGATGGTCAAATCCCTTACTTAAAATAATGTAGCATTTGCATGAATCTAAGCATATCCTCCTGTATATTCTAAATCATCTCTAGATGACTTATAATACATAAGACAATGTAAATGCTGTCTAAATAGCTGTTAGACTATGTGGCTTACAGAGTAATGAGAAGGAGGAAAAATTGTACATATTGCTTTTTGGGACTTTCTGGAACTTTCTCCCCCTGGATATCTTTGATCCTCAGTTGATTGAGTCCTCAGATACTGAAGACCAACTCTATTTCAGAACATGCCTAAAAATCACACAAAAATGCTTGACAACAAAAGTGGGTAAAAAGAACTTAGATATAAATGAGTTTGCTCCCACACAGCTGTTTGCCACAAAGCACCATCACACTGCCCCTTAGCTGTGGCTGCCTGGCTCTCCCAGGGCCTTGCCTCTGCATACCTGGGCCCAATAGCCCTGTGGCCAGTCCTTCATTGATGCTATGAGCCAGACAGACCATGTGAGGGGTTCCCCGTGTGCCCCACTGCCCCACAAGGGCACCCTCACATCAGGGCCCCATGCCTGCATCTGGGGGACTACACAGCCTTCGGAATCAGAGAGGCACTGAGAATAGCACAGTGATTCAGCAAACAAGACCAGGGAGGGTGGCGGGAGCCAAAAGCTGTAGGGAAATGCAAGGGCTTGCCTGCTGCTCCATAAAGTAGGCAGCCAGGAAGAATGAGGGGCTGAGTCATAAGAGTTGAAGGGGAGCTTGAAGCTTAATCAGATGAAGAGAAGGAGGAGCCCTCTCTAGGCTGAAATCCTCCTCCCATCTTGCCACATTATTTTTTTTTTTCAGTAAAGTTTTAATAACCTGGGACATTCAGATTTCCTTCCTCTTTTCTTACCTGGCACAACACGGGCGCCTGACTCTGCTAGCATCTTTATCCATCCCCTGCCTTTATAGCCCTCACCAGGACCACAGCAAGCTCCATTTCCAATCGGGTCCCTTCATGCTGACAGAAGGCACTTGCTGGGATCCTGACCCTACCCAGATTGTTTTGGTCTGAGTGGGTGAATGAATAACTACTGGCAGAGCCGCTAGGGTTGTTCACCATCAGGTCCAGCCAGCCTCCCTCCAGAGCTCCTTTCTGGCAACAGAGAGCTGCCTTCGCTCCCAGAGCACTGGGCCCTTCCCCACCCTCTCCCTCTCCTGGGAGGGGCGGCTGACTCTTACCTGTGACCCAAACCCAGGCTCACAAGCCAACTTCTTGAAACTTTCCAGGGTACACCTCTCCAGGACAAGCTCCCCTGTGTATGTGATCCCTCTGGAGCACTAATTCTGTTTTATTCTTTTGAAGAAAATAATGGAATGATGGATTAAAATTAACAGACATCCTTTTTGGACCTTTGCATCCTTTCATTTGCTACCAAAATAGGAGTCCCAATGAGCTAGACAATCATTGTTCCTCAAATGTATCTGACCAGAGAACCACAGGGCCCTATGGAACCAACTTTGGGCAACCCTGGCCTAAAGTGGTGGATTTTGACTGAATGATAAAGTACCCAGAACAAAGTATTTGTTTATTACTCATTCATTGTGATTTTTCCAAAATATGCCAAGCATCAAGATTGAACACTGTTGTTCTTGGAAAAAGCATGCAGAAAGGGATGTCATTATGGAATCAAAAACTTTTATTCAGAATAAGCATCAAAATGAAGGTAATTGTCTCACAAATGCAGGGCCACAGACCACTCATAAAGGGATTAGAAAATGATTACAAAAATATTTTAATAGATTAAAATAGCTGGAAACCACAATCACTGGCTGTAAAATATAGACACATATAATTGCATTGAAAAGGTGAAAAATCTTTAGACTATTTGCCCAGGTGGCAGGAAACCCACACCTCAGAGCCAAAGAGTTATTGTGACATCCAAGTCCAGGGTTATGTCTTCATATGACTGGGAGATATTTGGCCTCTGTTGCCATCTGTGGTTAAATGCAGAGGAGTAAGTGCTAGATCTTTAGGGCTTCTCATTGCTTTAGAGAAATTGGATCAAGTGCTTTTAATTTTCCCGAACACAACTTTTAATGGAGGAGTGACAGTAGATTACAAGAAATTTACTGGGGCTGCAGCTGACTCTTCAGTTTGGCCAGTCTCATGAGGCAGTCATCCCTCCACTGCCTTCTGGCAGCCAGGTGCCCTGGGTCATCAGGAACCTTCATGCGCATGGCCTGGCAAGGGGAAAAGCGGTAGGAAGAAATGCAGCATGAAGAGGAAATACTTTGCCACGAGTATAAATGCTTTACCTATTTATGTAAACTGTGCATACATTGCTTTCAAAGACAAAAAGCGTAGAAAACCCTCCATCAACACAAGCTTTCCAAATCTTGCTCTTAAGGTCTTCTAGTGACAGCATGCAACATGAACAAAGTCAAGAAAAAGGAACCATCAAAATCAAGGGCTGGGGGTGGGGGGTGAGGCGGGCTGGGGTTGTGACTCAGCGGTAGAACATTCGCCTAGCACGTGAGAGGAATTGGGTTCGAGCCTCAGCACCACATAAAAATAAATAAATAAATAAAATAAAGGTATTGTGTCCAACTACAACTAAAAAAAAAAAACAAAAAATCAAGGGCTGATTTGGGGGTTGGGGCTCAGGGATAGAGTACTCATCTAGCACGAATGAATGAGGCACTGGGTTTGATCCTCAGCACCACATAAAACTAAATAAATAAAATAAAGGTATTATGTCTATCTACAACTAAATTCGTGTGTGTGTGTGTGTGTGTGTGTGTGTGCGTGTGTGTATTTTTTTTTTTTTTTAATCAAGGTCCAATGGGCCTGGGGTTGTGGCTCAGTGGTCGAGCGCTTGCCCAGCACACACGAGGCACTGGGTTTATCCTCAGCATCACATAAAAATAAATAAAATAAAGGTATTACAACTAAAATTAAGAAAAAAAAAATCAAGGGCCAGGATTCCAGCTAAAAGCTCCAACCCAGGCGGAGGGAAGGGAAAGGCCAGCCCACTTTTCTGCAGTGAGTCTACATACCTGATGAACTTTCTCAACTGTGGCCCTGGAAAACTCTGGAACAGGTCCAAAAGTCTTCAGGACACGATTCATGCCTTCACTGTACCTGTCACAGTAGCTTAGAAATCCTGAAATGATATGAAAAAAGATCCATGGTATCAGCAAGAATATTCTACCACTCCAAACTGAAACACCTGGTCAGAGGGTTTTGCCTGGGGACAAGTTAGCTACATTCTTCTTCCCCTGGTGATAAAGAAAAACAGAGGTAGGAGATGCATCACCTGTTAGCCCTGGGCAAGGAAGACCCTTCCCATTAGTTATTATCTTGTGCTTTCTCTTGAACCTTAAAATCCTGGGTCCCTCGGGCCTGGTATGTCACCTTCATTGGCATATCCCACAGACACTCAGTTGGCTGATATTCACACTGATTTGCTGAATATCAGAGTAAGCCCTCACTTCTCAGAAAACATTTCCAACTACAGATCACTTAAGGCTACTTATGTGCAGGGCTTAAATACATTGTCTATGAACCAAAGATGTCAAAGTTCAAGTCAAGGTCTCATTCACCTTGGTCATAAGTCATTATCACTTACACTTCAATTATCACTTCAGCAAGCATTTACGAGGTGGTAGGTACCATGCAGATAGGTTGTAATACCACTTGCTTAAGCTTTGGTCAGGTAGGCCTGAGCCCTGAAGCATGTAGGCAGAGCTGACCCAGCCCTCCAAAAGCTGAACAATTTCTTGGATTCTAACATGTAGCCCTAGAATTTTGGTGGAGAAACAAAGATGAGGTTTATCTTTTAAGGATAAGGAGGAACAAGCACAATCACTATGGGTCTATGTGGACTAAAGCCAAGGCTCTATTTGAGAATCAGACATCCACAGAGAAGATAGCACAAGTCTGGTCCACCCATGGCACCTGCCCTGGTCCACTCAGCACCAGCTTCCTCCTCACCCAGGGCTGCTACGGCATGTGCTTAGAGACAAGAGGTATTAGAAGTCAGGCCTAGGATCCTGAAGATTGAGGTGTCTCTAAGTCCTGGCTGTTCCATCATTCACCCCATTTCTTTATTTTTTCTTTTTTGTGGTGCTGGACATCAAACCCAGAGCCTTGTGCCTGCTAAACCTGAGGTCAACCACTAAGACCTCAGGCCCATTTCCAACATCTTTTAAAACTACAAAGCCTTAGCAGTGGGTCATGAGGGCTAAAAAGATAATGAGGGTACAAATGAAAATGCAGAGACCCTAATGCCTGGCTCTCACCTACCCTGTGAAAACTGTGTAGGATTTTTTTTTTTAAAAAGATTAGTGCTAGATACTATTTTTAAAAAAAAAAGACAAATAAAAAGCTTCTTTGGGATTTAATTTTGATTGACTTGCATTGATGTGTAAGCCAAAATTCTCTGGGTTTCCATTTTGTTTGCTTCAAATAATTTTCCTTCTCTCTCAGTGTGCTAAAGTCCCTGAGAAGAGACAGTGTTTTGAAGGGTAAAATAGTCAAACTTGCCAACTTTTCTGACATCAGAAACTACATTAACTGATGGATAATTTTTTAAAGAAGGGGTTTTATTTCATTTCACATAAGTATTCACTTGGCAATTCAGAATTCTGGAAGCTTCTGTAAATGTTCCAGGACTGACCAGTAATCTCCGAGGGTTTAATGTTTCTAGAGACCAGAAAACAAGCTATATATTCATTTCCTTTCACAAAGGAAGTATTTACTTTATTTTTTCTACTTATTTATTCAAACAAAAGATGATAAAATCTAAACACAAATCAGGGACAAAAGAATTGAGTAAGTTGGAAAGATATTAAATGAGATGATTTGCTAATTAGCTTTTCTCACTGTGATAAAATACCTAAGAGAATCAACCTAAAAAAAGAGGAAAGGTTTATTTTGGCTCACAGTTTTAGAGGTTTCAGTACATGGCCATTTGGCTCTGCTGATTTGGCCCTGTGGTGAGAAAGTGTTGTCATGGTGTAGAGCGTTTGTTGGAGCAATGCTGTTCAGTCCATGCTGGCCAAGAGGCAAAGAGAGAAGCAGGGCTGAGCCCCAACATCCCCTTCAAGGGTACACCCGTCAGTGACCGCCCTTCCTTCCACTAGGCCCCAGATCCTAAAGATCCTGCCATCTCCCATCAGCACCACAGGCTGGTGACCAAGCATTTCACACATGGGCCTCTGAGGGACATTTAAGATCCAAACCCTAACGGAAAATTTGCTGTGGCTGCTTATTCACCCACTTATAGGGAGGGAAGAAGCCCCCGAGATCCGCTCAGGCATCAACTCCATCTCCTACTCCCACATGAGCAGCAATGCCAGGAGATTCAGTTCATGTGCCGCATATCGTCTCTGAGTTACTTTACATTCCTTGAAAAAGTGTTCACCTTTCACTATCCCTGAAATCATTCAAATACCCCAGAGACTTTCTAGAACTTCCCCCCACTGCCTTTTGTAAAATTTGTAAGGTTTAAAGGGACATTCATTTCTTCAAACCCTTTCTGTGACATGTACTCCAATCTCTTGAGATGAAGAGTCCCATATTTGTGGCAAAACTAAGGGGCCAATACCACGTGTGTGTGCGCCCCCCCCCACGCCTTCATCCACAGAGCACCCAGCACCCTGTCAAGGCTCACCTGGGTCTCCCAATACAAGGAGTTCATAATGACCCACATCATGGCTACCATGAACAACAATGTCCCAGTACGTCAAGATGGTTACTAGAGTTTGCAACATCTCTCCTTCCACTTTAGACAAAACTAAAAGGGGGCTTTTACTTATTTTCAACAAAATTTTGGCTTATGTACACCATGAGAGGAGAATTGAGTGGAAATTACTCTAAAATGCCAATTTCATCAGAAATGAGAAAAGCACAACACAACCCCCCTTTCATCCCACTATTTCATCCTCACCTTCTATTCCTACTTAATCTAGCCTTCGCCTATATTTTTCTTCCTATGCTTCCACATCCTCTGTTCTCTTGAGCTCCGATCTTCCAAAATCCTTGGAGAACTTAGCTTTTCAAAGACCTCTGAACCAAATTTCTTATTCAGAAAAAGAGAAAAAAAAAGAAAAAAAATAATTGATTCACATTAGATTAGATTTAGCTTTTCATGTGAACTTGGGATTCTTCAGCTGTTAGATTCCTAGGGCGAGGCTGTGGGTTATTCTGAACCAACTACCTGGAGCTGCCCAGGCAGGAAGCCTTTCTGCTTGTCTTTAAGGGGCAGGAGTGGGCCCTGGAATAAGATCTGGGACATAGCTACACACAGCTGACATATACTGGGCAGCCAAATAGGCGGCTCTAGGTGTTCAGTTTCTTGGAGACCGCTCAATTACTACCCTCACTGGAGGAGTCTGGTTTTCACCCAGTTTATGAACCCACACCTACGTAAATTCACCTGTTTTTTAAGAGACAGAATTTCACAGAGCTTATTAAAGCAGATCAAAAAGGGCCCGAAAACACCAAGTGATATTATCTAATGTCTCCTCTCAGGATCAAATTACCAAACCTGAGTGAGGACTCACCCCAGATCAGGGAGGCAGAGCCAACCTGAGGCCCATTTAGTGTCACCAAGCCCCTGTGGTCCCCATCAGCTCAGCTGTTTGTATTGGCAAATGACAGCTCCACATAAATGGACCAGACCCACCAGACATGCATCCTCCACTCAAAAAAAAAAAAAAAAAGAGGGGCTAGGGTTGTGGCTCAGTGGTAGAGTGCTTGCTTTGCATGCATGGGGCACTGAGTTCGATCCTCAGCACCACATAAATTAATAAAGATACTGTGTCCATCCACAACTAAAAAAAATTTTTAAAACAGGATTATTGTATTTTTAAAAAGGAAGAAGAAGAATAAAACGATAGGTGTCTACACAAAAGAGGAAATTTATTTATGAGGCAAGATGGTAAACAATCACTTACTTACCCTGGAGGTAAACTCCAGGAATTACCAAATCCTGAGATACTGTCCTTTCACAGAAAGAAGAAAACGCAAGGATGACCCAAACAGCCAACAGGGACAAAGTGGGACTGTAAAACTCAGCCAAGAAACAAACCAGACATTTAAACCAGGCACCTGATTCTGAGATTTCTCTCTTCCACAGGGAAAAAAAAAAGTTCTAAGCCGTATTTATTCTGTATTTCTCTCTTATGCTTGTGTAAATATTTTCAGGAGGATGAAAATAATAACTAAAAACAAAAATAGTGGAAGACCAATAAATTAAGCAAACAAGACAAAACTGTATGAAGACAACATTTGTTAAGGACCTAATCTGTGCCAACCACTCAGCTCAGTGCTTCTAATTTCCTTTATTTCTTTATCTTCTTTCTTCCCCTTCCTCCCCCTTTCCCTCTTCTTCTCCCTCCCTTCCCCCCACTTCTTCATCATCTTCTTCCTTCTTCCTCTTTCTCTTTTGGTATTAGGGATTAAACCCCTGAGCTACTTCCCCAGCCCTTTTTATTTTTTGAGGCAGGGTCTAACTAAATTGCTGAGGGTCTAACTAAAATGCTGAGGCTGGCCTCAACTTAAGATACTCCTGCTTCAGCCTTCTGAATCATTGGCCTTACAGGCTTGCACCACTGTACCAGGCTCATCTGGTTACCCATCCCTGGGAATTCCTTACTGTTGTCAGTTCCATTTTATAGGTGGGAAGACTGAGGTGCACTGAACTTGTTGACTTACCCAGTATTACACAGATAGAAAGTGGGAAAGCCAATGTAGCACCAGCCAACTGGCTCCACAGGCCAGAACCACTATTCTGAAAGCTCGTCAACTTCATGGGTGATGCTTTTAAAAAGCAGTCAAAAAGGCAGAGTAAGTATGCTGCCCTCCTGTTTTTCAAGTACAATTTTATTAGATTAAAAACAAATCCCTAAAATATTTGCACTAGTTATAGATAAATGGTAGCTTTTAAGACTAAGAACTCTCGTTCACCTGAGATGCTTAGCTTTATGAAAACAATATCAGCAAAAAACAGAAAAAGCCTCCCCTTTCCAATCTTGATATATTCTGGGTGACACTATGAAGAATAATGAACATTTCCATTGGTTCCCAGCCAGATCTTATAACTGTCTAACTCTGGGCTTTGGAATGCTCTGAAGTTGAAAACTACATCCGTCTCCCATTATCATATTAAGCCAATTAGGTCTTCTTATCATATCGGCTTTGTTTGAAAAATTGTTGTGGGCCTCCTTCCTGTCTGCTACCCCACTTGATTCTTGAGTTTCTGATGTAATTGGCTTCTGTTTCTATTTGTTTGAGACTCAAAGCTGTTCTCAGTTCTCTCCCTATCAATTTCTCATGATACTTCAATTATCTTATTTTTCACAAGAAAAAAAAAGAAAGGAAATTATGGTGGTTATCAGACAGTGTGTGTATACCTTTCAAATGCTTCAATATGTTCACCACTTATAAAGTCTGGTTGAAAAAAAAAACATTTGAAATTATCCAAGACCATTTTAATGATACTTCAAAATTATTGCACTTATTTCCCTTGTATAAAGATATCATTCTTTACATTATCTCCCTATGTTCAATGGTTATCCTTTTACAAAATTGGCATGCCAATGGCTAGGAAGGTCCCTTTTTTCCTTCAGATGCTCTTAGCAATGCTTGACTTTAAGGAAGCTATTGGACTGCATTTTGCATGCTACATATGGCCAGGCCACTCACAAAAACACATGTGCATCTGCTATATACAAGAATATGTCCTGTAAAGATGCCTTGAATTATTTATTGGAAAGTATATTTCATCACTACTGTAGTGAAAATTGACTGAACTATTGCAAAGCATCATGTGATTATAGAACTGAAGTCAAACGGACTCTAAGAGGTCACCAACTCGAACTTCCCACTTCACTGCAGGAATGTCCTCCCAGTATTTAAACATGAATTCTCAACTCACCCACTCAGCATAGTCCCTGCAAGGATGCTGGTTCCAGTTACTGCCAGCACAAGGTGGGAAGCTCAAATCTGACTGCCTGCCATTTCTAGTCTTTTATTCTGATTCTACCCCTTCAAAAGACAGGAACACACATGCAGGTACAGCTCTGGTCACCTTTTCCTGGACAAGCCCCAGTTTCTCAATGTCCTTTGCTAAATCTAGACCATGAAGCTGCATACAATATTCCCTCTCTCTGTTGAAGTCATACATAGCTATTGTATAAATTTATGACAACACAAGAAAAGCAAAAATAAAAGTTACTTCTCATTTTAATACCAAGAGATAGCCACAACATCTAGGTGGCTTATTTTCAGATTTGATAAGTAGCTTTTTTAATGAATTTTAATTTCATATAGGTTTTATTGGTTGTTTTCAAATCTTGTTGATAGAATTCATTCTTGTCCTTCAGATCACAAGCTGTAAGGACTCCCCCCCACCCCGCCCCCAGGGTTCTGAAGTCAGCTTCAGGGCAGACATCTGGCCTGCCCGTTTTCTATATGCCTATCCTAGGTCCTGCCCTGTGGCAGCCTCATGGCTCTGCAGCCTTCTGGAAGGGAAATACACCTGTAGCACCCCCATGTTTAGGCAGAAGATACCTCTAGTAGAGGCTCCTCTGGGTTGTTTGTACTCCTATTTTTTCATCTTTTTCACCATTTTTTTTCTTGTCTTTGTAAAAAATTCTATCACCTTAGAAAAATACCACTTTTTCTTCCATAGCAAAGTCCCTATCACATCATGTCCCTCTCTTAGTTTCCACCCAAGTGGTCTTCACCACTCAAAGCCCTGTGGTTCCCAGATTTCATGTGGATTTACATCTCAGTGCACAGTGCTCCCCGTCCCAGCCCAGATCTGTGAATTACCAGGAATGGTCATTGTCTCCCACAGATGCCACTGTTTCTATTCAATTGTTGGGAGCAGGGGTTTGGGAGGAGGAGGAAGAGGAAGAGAAGCAGCAAAATTCAACTGTTCATAAAACCCATGGAAATACTCAACAGCACAAAATTCCCATCCTAGACCTGGATGCGTACCTTCTGCATTGAGGTGCATGGTTTCCAAGGGTCCAATGAATGCATATCGCATGCCCAGCCCATCTGACATGACAAGGTCCAGGTCGCAGGGAGTCACTACTCCTTCCTACATGGGGAAAAGGGGACAGCACAGGGATGAGTTCTCTGGAAAGGATACATACACACACACACACACACACACACACACACACACACACACACAATCCTGAAATACCCATTCACTTATTCCATACCAGCAATCAATCTGTATGATCATCATCCACACCCTACAGCCAATGGACCATGTGCTTTAGAGAAGGGAGAGGGTGAAGGGCAAGGGAAGAATGAGGACTAAGTATCAGAGGAGAAGGGCAAGACGGACTTTCTGGATATTTGCCTAGGAGGTGAGGAATAAGGTAAGTGCCATCCAAAGAACTGGAAGGTGCTTCAGGTTTTACCTGCCTGCAAGTCTGGCCTTGTTCTGCTTTTAATGAGTTTATAAGAAATGTCATTATTTGATGAAATTCAGTTTAGAACTAAGGGTTTGTTCACCAAGGTGGGGCCCTAGAATCTTCTGCAAATGTTAATTGCAAAGCAAGAGGCGAGTTGTTGTATGCTTAGCTTAGATGTGCAAGCAACCAGTGTATTTCTTGGCTCATTCTTCATACAGCTGCTGCCTACAATGACTTTAGGAACCAGGCAGGGATGCATAAATAAATATCTGCATGATCCAGCAATTCACTGCCCTTTCACTCCCACCAAGAATCTTTGTACCTTGGGCATTTCAACGTGAGAGAAATTAACATTTTCCCCTAAATCTTCAGGGGTCAGATTAGTAGCATTACTATGGAATCAGCAGCTCTGGGTCTTCTTTCCTGAGTAGTTTCTTTCACAGACAGAGCACTGTAGGGTCTGCCATCTTAAGAGACCACTGACCATGCTACCTTTTCTACTGACAGCTTTGCTGGTCCCTGCCAGCCCTTGGCTGTGGGTCTGGTTCCTGTGTCCAAGAGGCATATCCACACACTAGAATACACCTGACTCTCAGTGATAGGTTCAGGCAAGCAGCCCACCAGGCACATTCCCTTCACTGTGGGTTATGGGTAATCCTTTGCCTTTTCCTGAAAGAGTTGTCTGAGGTTCTACTTGAGAAGAAAGCCTTTGTCAGTTTAAGGGAAGGTTCTGAGGTTTTGTGGTAGTCCTTGGTGGCCCATGGTCTAGGGTAGCACCCTTTGCCCTCTGATCATCCTGAGTAGGTCTGGGGCCCCAGAGACTGGAGCATCCCCTGTCATTGGGGGATGCTGGGACTTGACACTTCCCAGAATTCCAAGACAGCGGATGGGTGGGGGATTTGCAATACCCTACCACCACCACCCACATCCCCACTGCTGAGGAAGACACACAGGGGATCTCACATCTGTGTGGGTGTCTGGACCACCAGTTCATCTGAGAGAACTATGGAGTCAAAGAACCAACATGAAGACATAGCCCAGCCACCCACAAGGGGCAAGTACAAGCCATGTGTGACTGAGCAACTCCACTTCAAAGAACCACTTCCCATCTAGTTGGATGTCTATGCACATGTGCAAGACATAAACATATAAAGACATGCACAAGTTTATGGTGTAGAGAATAAGTATGAAGGAAACCCCCTTAAACCACCACACCCATCTTCCTCAGTTCATCCTATCCACTCCTTCCTGGAGGTAAACATCCTAACATTAATAATAACCACTCTTGGTTTTTGAGATTGTACATCTATGTTTACATTCCTCAACGGGGGAGTCTGGGTTTTGCCTGTGTCAAATCTTCTAGTTGATGAAATTATATGGTATGCATTCTTGAGTGACTTGCTTCTATCTCTAAATATTATGTTTTTAAGATGTACCTAGGGCTGTGAGGCATAACTCAGTGACAAAGTGCTTACCCAGCATGCATGACGCCCTAGGTTGCAAAAACAAAATAAAAAAAGATGCACCAGTTGAGTCTGGTGGCACACTCCTATAATCGTAGCTACTTGGGAGGCTGAGGCAGGAGAATCACAATTTCAAGGCTAGCCTGGGCAACTTACTGAGACCCCCTCTCAAGATAAAATAAAATAATAAGAAGGGATGTGATTCAGAGGGAGATCGCCCCTGGGTTTTACTCTCAATACCGAAAGAAAGAGTGGGGGAAAACACACACACACACACACACACACACACACACACACACACACACACACACCCCTATGTTATATATAGCTATAGTTTGTCATCTGTCCACACTTGTTGATGTATAGAAATCACAGTTTATGCCTATGTAGTAGTGCACACCTGTAATCCCAGTGGCTTGAGACACTGAGACAGGAAGATTGCAAGTTCAAAGCCAGCCTCAGCCACTTAGCAAAGCCCTAAGCAACTTAGTAAGACCCTATCTTAAAATAAAAAGGGTCTTGGGGATGTGGCTCAGCAGTTAAGTGCCCCTGAGTTCAATTCCTGGTACAAAGAAAATAAATCAGTTTACTTATCCATCCTACTGCTCATGAGCATCTGGATTGTTTCTAATATACGGTTCCTGTATATAGGGAGACAGAATATTCTTGTACATGGCTCTGGCCCATGTCCAAATAGAACTGCTGAAGCCTACAGCAGGTAGTTCTTCATCCTGCTCCTTACTGGACAATGCCAAGCTGTTCCCCAAAGCATTGCATCATGTTTACTGCCTGCCTCTGGCACCACGTCAGAAGGGTTCCCATCTCCCTGTGTCTTTTCCAATGCTGAATGTCATCATACCTGCACATTTCTGCTGATCTGGGAGGGAAAAATGGTTATCTCATTGGGTTTTCTATTCATTCTAAATCATCCTACCATGTGTTCATTTGGACCACTAAGGAGAGCAAAGTAATTTTTCCAGTTCACTCAAATGCTGACAAGTATCACCTCCTTTCACTTTTAATAACTAAGCTGTAAGGAGGGAGGGGCCGCAATGAGGAGGAAATAATCCACAGAAGGCCTGTGGCTGTGGTAATGACCAGAACCATCAAGTAACTCATCTGATGTGAACTGTCACTCCTGCTTGCCTGCTTGCCCCTCCCTGTGACCAGCACTGGGGCGGAAGGAGTGCTCTGGGGTTCTCCCCAGGCTGTCTGACGGCCTTGGCTGTGCTTTCCTGCACCCTGTAGGCTCGGGAAGGAGGTGAAAGGCATCCAGGTGGGGCCCTGAAGACCCTCCCTGAGCCTTGGTTTTCAGATCAACATTCCAAAAAAGCCTAAAGTTTTCATTTTAGCCTTCAAACTGTGAAGGATGCAAATATGGAAGCCACTCTACGCTTGCTCTGCTGTTTGGCTTGGCTCTTTTCTTCTACAATTGGGGTTAGTATTTTTAGAATTGATCTTTAAAGGATTTCAAAATATACAAAAGGTGAGCTACCAGAGTAGTTAAGTTTTATTTGTACTGGGGGATCCAATCCAGAGCCTCATGAATGATGGACAAGCACTCTACCACTGAGCTACACCCCCAGCACAAGAGTAGTTAAATTTTGATTCCTATCATCTGAACTTACTGTACCCCAACTAAAGCCTGAGAGGGATGATATGAACAGCATCATCATTTGGGGGAACTTCATGCCCTCTGATTCCCAAATATTCCCTTCTCCTTCCCATTTCATCTAGAGTAAGGCTGTCTATTTTTTATTAGTCACTATATATCAGTAGAACAAGTTAGAATAGTGAAGAACCTTTAGCTATCTTCATTCCCTTACTCCTTTGTGTCCCCTGTGGAATTTCTAAAGTCGATTTATCAAAGTCTATTTTTAACCAAGAAGCAGAATCCAGAGAAAGAAAATAATTGCAGGTAATTCAATTCAATTCAGTTTCTTGCCGGCTGAAATTTCACATTGCTGAGGCAAACATTTGAGTTTCTCCCTATTGCACTCAGCATTAAACTACAGGTTTCATATTTAGGATATGTTTCAGTTCAGCTCAGTTTCGCTCTTTTGAGTTCAATTCCACCCAAAGCCTTGTGACATTTGTGACCTAAAATTATCATAACAATTACAATAAGTAACCATGGTGCAGAATAGGCAGAAACAAGTGCTTATGCTGAAAACACTGAACTGACACATGATTCCTGGAAAATAGATGGAGCACAGCACTTTTGTTTGGATAATGGAACCTGACCCCAGGTCAGTTTTAACATCTATCAGTACTTCCTTCATTTTGTGGTAAAATTCTCAAGTCACATGTACAAAGGAAGAGCCCCAAGTGGTTAAAAGATTCCAAAAAACTCATACAGAAAATTGAACAGTAAGATCACTGTTCAAAACCTGGCTTTTATAACCATGTGCTGAGAATCACAGGCGAGTAGGACCCAGACAGAGTGGAAAGGAACTCCATTTATTGAAATACTTCTCGTCTCTACTTTCTTTAGTTAAAATCTGAGATTTACCACGATCAACTGACATATATACATGGCCCAGGCACAGGTTTTATACCTGGGGTGCTGGGAATAATGCCCAGGCTTGTGTGGGAGGGTAACAAGATAATCACCATGAAGGAAAAAAAAAAAAAAAAAACACAAGATACCAAATGAAGTTCTTGATTACTATGGTACATATTTTAAGTATAATTAAAATTTAGAAATGTGTCAGGATTCTATCAGAGAGACAGAATTGGTAGGAGACATACATGTGCACGCACGTACACACACACACACACACAAATCATCTCTTGGCATCTGTGGGAGATTGGTTCTAGGACAGCCCTTCCATCTGAGATACCAAGTTTCATAGATGCTAAAGTTCCTTAAATAAAGTGGTATAGTGTTTCCAGAAAATCTACACATATCCTCCTATATACTTTATATTACCTCTAGATGACTATATACTTTATATTACCTCTAAATAACTAATGTAGTGTAAATGCTATGCAAATAGTTGTTATACTGCATTAGTTAGGGAATAATAACAGGAAAAAAGTCTATACATACTCAGTACAGATGCCATTTTTTTCTGAATATTTTCAACCTACAAATTGAATCTACAAATGCAGAACCCACAGATACAGAGAGACCTATGAATGCATGTATTATGGGAATAAAGAGAGAGAGAAAGAGAGAGGAAGGGAGGGAGGGAGGGAGGGAGGGAGAG